TGCGCAACCAGAGCAGGTGGAGTGCTGAAAGCGCACGTGAAGACAGCACTGACGTTGGCAACCGCGCACGAACACGTGAAATTTGACGTAACCCTGTAACCAGAGCAGCTGGAGAGCTGAAACTTTCTGAGCACTGCCCAGGACGGTGTTTGAGCAAATGCACGCGAAGACAGCATTGACGTTGCCACTCACGTACGAACATATAAAATTTGACGTAACCCCGCAACCAGAGCAGCTGGGATGCTGGATTTTTGGGTAATGACTGGGAGTTATTGAAATAATTTCTAACTGTCGTGGTGGCTACTCTAAATTCTCTTAGCTACAATCATCTGCCGGAAAAGACAGTACATTAGCAACAAAAACCTGCGGAGGAACTGTGCAAAAAATGCATCTTCGCACCGGCAGCTGGTACGTTGTCGACTAAATTACTGTTCTTATGTGGTGAAAACGTCGGAATGTTCTGATCGACCAGAATTTTCATTTGTTCGTACATGAAACCTAGGTATGCGTGAAAGATGAATATAAAATCTTCGGAACCGCACGCGGTCAGGAAATACCCTTCTGAAAATTCAGATTCCTGCTTCGCTTGGTCCCAGAGTTGGAAAACTTTTCGCCAAACTCCATGTGTCCGTACGTGAATTTTTTTTTTTTTTGTGAACGGATACAGAACCTGAATCCAGAATTTTTGGTGTCGTACATGGACACGAAATAACCTCCTTGAATTCTAGCTCCCTAGTTTTTCCAGTCCCCAAGTTGGCAAATTTTCCGTCAAAAATTCCGCCTGTCCGTACGTGAAACCCAGGTGTATATGGAAACTCAATTTAAATCCGTGGGATTGCACATGGATGGGGAACATCCTCCTAAAATTTTAAGTTCCTAGCTTTTCTGGTTCTTAAGTGGAAAATCCGGGATAAAACGCATTTGGACACATAAATATGCACACACATAATAAAGTCGTGATAATATGCGCTTCATGCAACTGCTGCAGTACATAAAGCGTAAAAATTTGGTAGGCGCAGCACGTTGTCTGCTTAACAAAGAGTGGGAGCCAAGTGTTAATGACGTATCAATGAGCAGAACTAAGGTAAAAAAGTCATTGGACAAAATCCATGAGATAGTGTGCGCAGATCCAGTTCACTGCAGATAAGGGGAAGAAGGCCAGAACAATGACTATAATCCG